GGGTTATAAGATAAATGACTTTCTATGGATTGATAAATTTGAAAGGTATTTATTATCACCTGATTGGTGATGTTTTAAATACAAGAAAGCTAAGAGAAGCTGTTAAAGCAAGTTTCTTCCTCTTTTCAATCTGAACACCATTACATTATAAATATGTTACATGATTATTAGAGTATATTTTATTTCTTTTAAGTTAGAAAATAATAATAATGATACTGATAATTATAATAATGATGATAATAATAATAATAATAATAGCAAATGACAGTTTACTGTTGGGAGAAAAGCATGGTGAAATCCTCTTAGGAAATCTTTGTTTATGAGGTTCCTTGGGATGAGCCCTACTGACAGGGTGTTGTGAAACTCAGCAGCACTGCTGTTTGAGGAACCAGGGGCTCTCCTACCCAAAGTGGAAAAAGTAAGCTTTTGAATAGTAAAGTGGGAGTCATTTGGGATCATTTGGAAACTCATGCAATTGTATCTTTTAATGCCATTATTTTGAACCAACTATTCACAGTGTATGAACTTGTGGTGAAGAATAGAAATAGCAGCACAATGCTATCTAGGTCTCTTGGGTCTGAGTGACTCAGATAGGTAAGCCATTCCTCCCCAGGTATACTTTTTTAGTTCATAAGGTGGGGGGGGGGTGTCTTTGTGGCACACAAGGGATAATAGATTCAATTAAGTAAGAGTGGGTTACTCCAGATGACATCCCAGGGGCAACTTACATAACAACCACTTGTCTAACTTGTGTAGCTTTTAATCAGTTTGCATTTCAAGTCACACACATTGGTGGTCATCTGCTAGCTTTCACCCCTCTTTGAGCACTTACAGAACAAGATTATTATTGTGCCCAAGTCACTCCCTGAGGTTGTGCTGTAAGGGAAACTGAGGAGGATAGATACTCCCCAGCCCCCTGTATAACCATCTCGTGACCTGACATAAAGATAGATGGGAGTTATCATGCATGGCTGGAGGTGACCATGGAGATGAAACATTAAATAACCAACAAACTATGTTACCTGGGAAAGCAAATTATCTCAAGGAATATTTTTCTTGAGAAAAGTGTGTAACTGTCCAAGGAATTGATTACTCTTTGGAGACTTACACAACAAACAGGTATTTGGGGCTCTCATCAAGCCCCAACTTTTGTTAAAGATGTGTGTGTGCCTGGACCCGAGAGCTCAGCAAGGAGACCTACACAAAACAAAATATCAAGATTGTCTTTCCCTGGTTTACATGGATATAAAAGGGGTCATTTAGAAAGGGATTTTTGGAGTACTTTGATGCAGAGATAAGGATGCTGACTCTCTGCCAGAGGCGGATCACATGCACGGTCTCCATTGTGTCCTGGGGTAGGACACTCCCCGTTGCCTCCCGGACCAGACCCATTGGGCAGTCTCCCTTCTCCCTGGTTCTATGGGTATTTGAGCTCGCCTGGTCAGTGAGTATGTATCCTTTCTTTTCTTATTCGTACTTTTTAAAATTTTGATTATTACTTCTTGCATGGAATGTTATTCTTATCTTTATTGCTTGTGTGGTTTTTAATCATTATTAATCACTGTAAAATAAATGTGATTATTTGTTAAGTTTATCCTGAGTATGTGTCATTATATCTTGAGATCTGAACCTCAACGTGAGAGTACTGTGCAGTCCGTAATCCTTTTGATTACATTTGCCCAGGTATGACCTACTTGCCTGCATGGACTCTGCTGGGGAAATCTCATCTTCTTCTCATCTCACTGTATTCTAGAAATGGTCTGATGTTCTCCCTTTGGCTTTATCTGCAGACCAAGGCAGGGAATGATAGTTGTGAATAGATGAACTTTGTGAATAGTTTAAAAAGTGTAGATGAGATTTTAAGGCTAACATATGAGAAAAATAACAACTATCTAGCCGTAAGCTATAATTAGTGAAATTTTGCTATTTGAGGAAGAGTCCCTTGGCACTTTAACTTGCTGCTGTTCTAAGTCTTGAATCCAGATATAAATGTCTGACCTCTCATAAGGCTGCTGGCTCATCATTCAAAGGAAATGCCATGGGCCCCTGCAGTCTGAGGACTTCCTCAGGTGAAAGTCTGCCCCTGGGAAAGTTGAAAGAACGACCTTTCAAAGATGAAGGTAGGATTCTCTTGACCTATTCCCATCTTGGTAAACAAGACATTTTCCCACCTGGTTAATTCTGAGCCTGGCTATAACATCCTGTCATACAATTGGCTGCCTGACTCATACCTGAAATCAAATAGAACTACTATGGGACTGCTTTTCTCCTCACATAGCAAGTTCCATTGATTAGGGCAAGTATAAAAGAAGATGAACCTTTTGGTGATTTTTGAATAAGTAACATGTGCTAGTATAGTGAGGAATCATTTTGAATCAAAGTAACAAAGACCATGAAGTCTTACAACTAGTGGGATATTTAGTTTATAAGAGATCACCCTATAACATTCTTTCCTTATGATAATAAGGTACCTGTACGCATAGGAATATTGAGTAAAGCAGTACTCACAAATGAAATACTAGTATAGGAATATAGAAAGACTATATGAATGCTCATATATGCAAATGTATAGAGAGAATACACGATCATATATATGAGTCACAAGAGGCAATATAGTATATTCATATACACCAAACACATGATTGCTCAAGGATATGTGATTATAAAGAATATATAGGGCAACCCATATGTATCAATTCATAAAGAGAGAGAATATATGAGAACTGAAATATGAATAACCACAGAGTATAGTAGAGAATTCCTACACTGAATCCATAAAGAGAACATATTAACACTCAGATGTATGGATATATAGAGAGAACGGGTGAGTACCCATACATGTCAAAATACAAATAGAAGATAGTATTACTCATTTTTGAGGAGATATGTCTAAGTATTCCATCCTCCTTTTCCATAAGATTTTCCTTAGGAGGTAAGTAAGGTTCTCAACCTGTTTGGCCTTTGCCACCCCATCTCTTCATGTCCTAAGACAAGCAAATATTTCTGAAGACCCTCTTTTTGAGACCCTCTTTTATCTTCTTACCATGATTATTAATATAGACTAAAATTCTTAATCAAATGATTGTACTGGGGGTTTAAGTGTGTGTGCGTGTGTGTGTAAGTGTGGGAGCATTTGTGTTTCTGTGCATATATGCCCTAAATTCCATCCCATTCCCTTTGGGATCATTGCTAACGTGTTGCAACAGGTCAGATTGGAGTGTGTTTACTGTAGGCAACATCTTTCTCTGTTGTACTTTCCTTTAGACTTCTATTAATTACAGCATTTGCTCCAATCAGTTCGAGACTATTTCTTTTTTTTTAGTTTGAGACTATTGAGGAAATGTTTATAGCAGTCCTGGTGAAGTTGCTCTCCAATATTTCTGGCCTCATTTTGCACAGAGCACATGAGCTCTGCCCAGGGGTTATTCAGGCTTCCTTTCCCATCCAGATTCCCAGAGCCCCCTTCTACAGCCCAAGCTGGTCCCTTTGCACAGCTAAAAATTCCCCCCTCTCTTCTGTGGATAATCTGCACCTTCCTTCCCCTTGATGAAAGGCCTAATGCCACCCAGCCCACCTCCACCAAGCAGTTCTTGACCCCTGCCTCTCCAAGGCTTGCCTGCTTTGGCCTAGGCTTTGCCACCACTGCCACACTGGGCATGTCCAAGGAAGACCTTTTCTCTCACTAGACTGGGAGTTCTCTGAGAGCAGGAAACAGGGACCTTGCCTAGGCTAACATCTCTAAGCCCTAAGAAAATGTTCAAGTAGGGTTCTGAGTGAAGCAGCTAGGGGGTCAACCCCTCCCCCCCATTTGACAAATGGAAGAAACCCATTCAAGGGAGGAATGGAATTCGTTCAGGCTTATCCTGCCAAATGTGTACCCCAGGCTGGACCAAAGACAGGGGTGGGAGCTTGGTTTGCCCTTCACTTAACCAGACAGTCATAACTGAAGACTCCCAGAATCCCGGCTCTCTGGGGAGCCTGTCTACCAGCTTCTGGGGAGAGCCTTCCCAAGTACCTTCAGCCCATGAAGCTTGGCTCTCAGAGGAGAGAGAGGCCAAGATGGAAACCAGCTAGCCTGGCAGGCAAGAGACACCCGGGCTCAAGGCTGTGTGACCTTGGCCATGTCCCTGCCCTCCTCTTGACCTCAGTTACCCTTTTTCTCACATGAGGAGGTTGGACCAGGTGACCTCTGAGGCCTCTTTTAACCCTCCATCCTATATAAATGTACAAGCCCATTGGTCTTCATCCCCACATCTGCACCCTTCCCCAATGCTAGCACACTAGCCCACCTCTGCAGCTGAGAAAACCCTGCTAATGGAATGCTTTCCCTTGGGGCAGCAACCCCCCCCCCCCATCAGCCCTTATTCTAACCCTACAGATTGGAATCAAAGCCCTGGTTCTTCTGGACTGAACCAGAGGCCTCCACCCCACCCTCTCTGTCTCACAGGGACGGTCAGACCTCCAGCCCAGACTGGTGGGCAGAGCCCTACCCTGGGCAGGAGTCCTGGGCTCTGGGCTTTGTGTTTCCTGCCCCCTGGTCTCCCGTTCTCAGGCTCGTGGGCCTCAGGGGGCATTGGGCAGGTACCCTGGCACCTCACATACCCACTCCCGGACCGAGGGGTCCCCAGGGAGTCCCCAGCAAAGCCAAGAGAGTCTGGACAAGGTGGCCCCCCCACCCCGCCCCCGCCCCCATCCCCCCGAGGGCCGATGCTGATGGTTGATGACGTCAGCGTCCACCTTGACGAGGCAGGAGCCCCCCCCCCAGCCAAGTGCGCCCCTCGGGCCCCCCCACCCGCCTCCTTTCGGTCTTCATCCCCCCCCACTCCCTCTCGGGCTCCATTTCTTCCTCCCCACCAGCCTTCTTCGCCTCATCTTCCCCTCCCCCACACCTCTCATGCTTTTTTCCCCCTCCCGGTAAGACCCTCCGCCTCCCCTTCCCCCCTTCCCCCCCGCACGCGGTTACTACCAGTGTCTCGCGCTGACAGCGGTCACCTGACTGTGGCCATTCCGGGGGCGGGGCAGACGCCGGGGGAGAGGACCCAGGGAGCAGGGGTGATGCTCAGCGACCCCCTGCTGTCTGTCCTGATGGCCGGGGTGGGGGGGAGGGGAGAGAGAGAGAGAGAGAGAGAGAGAGAGAGAGAGAGAGAGAGAGAGAGAGAGAGAGAGAGAGAGAGAGAGAGAGAGAGAGAGAGAGAGAGGCAGAGAGAAAGGAGAGAGAGGCAGAGAGAAAGGAGAGAGACACAGAGAGAGGAGAGAGACAGAGGGGGGAGGGAGGGAAAGAGAGACAGAGAGAAAGGATAGAAACACAGAAAGAGGGAGGGAGGGAGAGAGAGAGGAGAGAGACAGAGAGAGGGAGGGAGGGAGAGAGAGACAGAGAGACACAGGGAGAGAGGCAGAGAGAGAGAGACAGAGAGAAAGAGAGACAGAGAGAGAGACAGAGAGAGAGAGACAGAGAGAAAGGAGAGAGACACAGAGAGAGGGAGGGAGAAAGAGAGGAGAGGGAGAAAGAGAGGAGAGAGAGAGACAGAGAAAGAGAGAGAGAGAAAGATACAGAGAGAGAGACACACAGAGAGAGACACACAGAGAGAGGGAGAAAGGGAGGGAGAGACAGAGACAGAGAGAGAGAGTGTGTGTGACAGAGAGAGAGACAGAGAGAAAGGAGAGAGACAGAAAGAGGGAAGGAGAGAGAGAGGAGAGAGACAGAGAGAGAGAGGGAGAGAGGGAGAGAGAGAGAGATACAGAGAGAGACACACACACACAGAGAGGGAGAAAGGGAGGGAGAGACAGAGAGACAGAGATAGAGTGACAGAGAGAGAGAGAGAAAGGGGAGAGAGAGACAGAGAGAGGAGGGAGAGAGACAGAGACAGAGAGAGGGAAGGAGGGAGAGGGAGGGAGGGAGAAAGAGAGGAGAGAGAGAGAGGGAGGAAGGGAGAGGGAGGGAGGGAGAGAGAGAGAGGAGAGAGACACAGAGAGAGGGAGGGAGGGAGAGAGAGAGACAGAGAAAGGAGAGAGACACAGAGGGAGGGAGGGAGAGAGAGGAGAGAGAGAGACAGAGACAGAGGGAGAGAGACAGAGAGAGAAAGATACAGAGAGAGACAGAGAGAGGGAGAAAGGGAGGGAGAGACAGAGAGAGAGGGTGACAGAGAGTGACAGAGAGAGGGAGAGAGATACAGAAAGAGACAAAGACACACACAGAGAGAGGGAGAAAGAGAGGGAGAGACAGAGAGACAGAGAGAGAAAGAGACAGAGAGAGGGACAGAGAGGGAGGAGGGAGAGAGAGAGAGAGAGGGGGGGAGAGAGACAGAGAGAGAGGAGGGAGAGAGACAGACAGAGAGAGGGAAGGAGGGAGAGGGAGAGGAGAGAGAGACAGAGAGGGAGAGAGAGAGACAGAAAGAGAGAAAGATACAGAGAGAGACACACACACACAGAGGGAGAAAGAGAAGGAGAGACAGAGAGGGAGGGAGGGAGAGAGAGAGAGTGGGGGGAGAGAGAGACAGAGAGAGAGGAGGGAGAGAGACAGAGACAGAGACAGAGAGAGGGAAGGAGGGAGAGGAGAGAGACAGAGAGAGACACAGAGAGAGGGAGGGAGGGAGAGAGAGAGAGGACAGAGAGAGGGAGGGAGGGAGAGAGGGAGACAGAGAGGAGAGAGACACAGAAAGAGGGAGGGTGGGAGGGAAGAGAGAGGAGAGAGACAGAGAGGGAGGGAGAGAGAGATACAGAGAGAGAGACACACACAGAGAGAGGGAGAAAGGGAGGGAGAGACAGAGAGAGAGAGAGAGAGAGAGAGAGAGAGAGAGAGAGAAGAGAGAGAGAGAGAGAAAGAGACAGAGAGAGAGACAGAGAGGGAGGGAGAGACAGAGAAAGAGAGAAAGAGAGGGAGGGAGAGACAGAGAAAGAGGGAGGGAGGGAGGGAGAGAAGAGAGAGACAGAGAGGGAGGGAGGGAGAGAGAGAGAAAGATAGAGAGAGAGGGACACAGAGAGAGGGAGAAAGGGAGGGAGAGACAGAGAGAGAGACACAGAGAGAGAGAGAGACAGAGAGAGAGGGAGGGAGGGAGAGACAGAGAGAGAGAGGGAGCGGGAGAGAGAGAGAGAGAAGTAGAGAGAGAGAAAGGATTATATCGTATATTGTCCTATATACAGGAAAGAACTTGTATATTTTATATGTGTATATATATATATATATATATATATATATATATATATATATATATATATATTCTCTATCTTTATCTATAAGACTACAGATTATCTCTCCTATACATTATAACTTCATGCTTAACATATATAAATGGATGGATAATATAAGACAACTCACATATGTGAAGACAGAGAGTATATTCATATATGTAATTACTTCAGTTCTGTCTCTTTGTTCTTATGTACAGAAAATAATTTATTCTTTCTATAAATTCATTTATATGACTTATACATTTTATTTCTTCATGAGTATTAGTAATCATTCTGTCTATTCCTACTTATGTGAGTACTCACATATTCACTCTCAATTAATATTTGAGTACCCATATTTTCTCTATACATATATACACATGTATACATTCTCTCTATGTATTCATATATATTAGGTTTCCTAAATGCTCTATTTTAAAAAATATTCCACTGATTTTCTCCCTGTGATAGAATATATGAAGACTCCTGTCTATGTACACAGAGAGGGAGTCAGTACTCATATATGGTACATGAATATGGAGTGAATGAGTACACACATTTGAAGTACCCATATAGGAATATAGAAAGACTTTATAAATGCTCATACATGTCAACATATAGAGAGAATCTATGAATATTCATATGTATAAGTCACAAGAAACAGCATAGTATGTGTATATACATATACACACATGCATATATATACATATATACATATATACACACACACACACACACACACACATATATATATATAATATATATATATACTGAATACATGATAGCTCATGAAAATTGTATGTGTGGGGGCAGCTAGGTGGTGCAATGGATAGAGATCTGGTCTTGGAGTCAGGAGTGACGCGGTGCTTGTGTTTGGGTGCTTGTACTTGGACCCCAGTTTCTCCCTAGCTTCAGAAACACTGTCCCTGACAGTTTCTCCCCAGCCCAAGGACCCTGTGCTTAGCAATTACTCGTGAGTGGGCCCCAGCAAGACCCTTATCTCTCTCTCTGGTGCAGTTCCAAACAGTACCTGAAGGGTTTATTAGTTTAAACTGGCTTTGCACTGGGTCATAAAGACATTCTTACCCACTACTATAGTATCCTACTGCCCTACCTTATTATCTACATCCTGGGCTCCTCATTAACTATATTCTAGACTTAAGACATATGTATGCTCCCTACATCTATCTTGTCAAGCAAGACATTGATTGGTGGCAGACTGGATAGCTCTCAGTTACCCTGAACTCTGGTTGACTTAGTGATGTAGCAGGCCTAAAACCACACCTCCATGTGGCCCCCCTTGTGGGCTGTTCCTAATGAACTCTGGGTAAAACCCTGCCTGCCCAGTAGTACAAGAAGTGCATGTTTCTTTAAGAACTGACCACTCCTTAATCACTCCCTAATCCCACCCTGAATCCCCTAGTTAGCATATTTGGCACATGTTTTATTGTATTTTATCCTATATAAACTTTAACTGTACCTCTCTAAGGTTGCAGGATCCTTTAAGAAACCTTGCCCGCTGAAAAGCATAACAATAAATCTTTGCCACCTTGAATTAAAGAATGCTTGAGTCTGTGAATTCATTCCAGACTACCCGTCCTGTACTCTGGTCTTTGAGGGGTCACAACCTCTCAACCTCTCAGCCCACAACAGGAGGACCTGAGTTCAAATCAGGTCTCAGACACTTGACACTTACTAGCTGTGTGACCCTGGGCAAGTCACTTAACCCCATTGCAGAGTCAGAAAAAAAGAAAAGAGAAAATATATGTGTGACTAGAATATATGGGGGAACATATATATATTCATTTATGGAGAGGGTATATGAGTACTGAAACACCAACAGGAAAGGATTATGGAAGAACCTTCATTCATATGAAAACATAAAGAGAATATGTCAGTACTGAGACATATGGATGAAGTCTGAGAAGAGGTGAGTACTCATACATGTCAAAGTACACACGGAAGACAGGAATACTCACCTATGAGGAGATATGTCCAAATATTCTGGCATCTCTTTCCATCATGTTTTCCTTAGGAGTTAAGCTTCTCAGTCTGTTTTGCCTTTGTCTGCCTCACCTCTCCACTTCCCAAGTCAAGCAGAAGTTTCTGAAGGCACTCTGGAGAGCCTGTTGAGCGAAATCTATAGGTGTGTCTGAGCCCTGAAAGTTCACCTTCTTGTAAGTGTTCTGTAACCTCTATTTTTATGTGAGGGTTAAATCTTTACCTGTCCCTGCTCCTCTTCAGGAGAGAATTAAATAACTGACTTGAGTTGGAATTAATTTAAAGGAAGTGATATTTAAATTTGCAATTCTAAAATAATTAACAATTAATTGGTAAAAATTGGAAAGTAAAAAAAAAGTAAAATTTTGGGAAAACAAAAAGATCATTATATATACATGCATTCACAGACACACGCATAAAATACAATTTGAAAGGGTGCAAGAATTCTGCCTTCTGTGGCATTTAAATATTTCCTTTGTATTTGAATGTCTTCCACATATCAATGTAACAGTATCCCTTCAGCTTGTTCTCAACAGTATTTATATCAGGTACAGAATTTAGATAAAGATGGAAACAGCATGGGGTATTTATAACTTAAATTCCCTAAAGTTTCAAGTGAGCTATGGGCTCCTAATTTGCTGTTCCCCTTATAGCTCTACTGTTAATAAGATCAGAACTATAAGGTTTGAGCTGGTTCTCACAACATGAACTTGCTATTGGAGAATTTGGAGAATCTGTGTGAGTCTCCTCCCACGCCTCTCCCATTTAGGAGGAGATTTCTGTTTTCTCCTCTTTTCCTTGTTGTCATCTCATAAATATACAAGCTTCTGTTTGGATTGCGAATATTTTGCACTTACTTAGGGCTCCACATCCGTGTTCTTTTCTCTTCTAATAAATCCAGTTGCAATGCATGTCTCATGGACTTGTATAGTTTTTTTGGTTGACAAGCCCCTTTTGTTTTCTAATCATGATTACTAAGTGATAGTGATTAAGATTTTTTATGAAATGATTGCATCAGATGTGTGCCAGGATGTGTTTGTGTGTATATAAGTGTCAGAGCATGTGTGTTTCTCTGTATGTGTGTGTGTGGTTTTGGGTCCTAACTTCCATCCCACCCCATTTGATCATTGATACACCAGTGTGTGTAAGAGTGGGAGCTTGTGTGTTTCTTTGTGTGTGTACTAAGTTACATCCTATCCAGTGCTGGATCGTTGATTCACAAGTTTGTGTGTGTGTGTGTGTGTGTGTGTGTGTCCTTACTTCCATCCCATCTTCTTGTGGATCATTAGTGCAGCAGTGTGTGTGTGCTTGTGTGTGTGTGTGTGTGTGTGTGTGTGTGTGTGTGTGTATGTAAGTGGGGGAGCATGTGTGTTTCTTTGTATGTCTCTTTATGTGTGTTTTTATGTCCTAACTTCCTTCCCATGTCCTATTGGATCATTGTTAACACATTGGAACAGGTCTCCTGTTCCACACAGGAGTGTGTTTCATGGAGGGCTACATCTTTCAGTGTTGTGCTTTCCTTTAGATTTCTATTAACTACAGCACTTACTCCAATCAGTTTGGGCCTGTTGAGGAATTGTTTATACCTCTCCTGGTAATTTTGGCTCTCCTATAATTCTGGCCTCATTTTGACAAACAATTGGATTTGGCTTCTGCTTCTGGCTTCTTCAGCCTGTTTGCAACAAGAGCCAATCTTAGTGATAGATGTCCATGCTGACCTGTGTAGGTTGGGGGAGAAGCCCTCTTTCCCTGGTGGGCAAAAACCCGCTCACTTGCCCAGGGAGGGAAAGGAAAGGGCATATGAGCTCTGTTCAAGGGCTTATTTGGGCTTCCTTTCCCACCCTGATTTCCAGGGCCCCCTTCTGCAGCCCAAGCAGGTCCCCTTTGATAATCATTTAAAATCAATTGAGCCCCCAAAAGGGCCAAAAATCTGAATTAATCTTTTCTCTCTGAGTGAACTAAGAATGCCCCTTCCTGTGCCAACAGCTGAAGCTGACCAAGGGCATTCTTCTGTTTATGACCACTAAGGTGCCTTAACTGGGCCACTACCTTGAATAATGGGACTTTTTTATCTTGGTATTTTATGGACATATGCTATGTTGTGTCATGTTAATGGTAAAGGAAACACAGATATCCTGGATCTATAATTTACATTTTGACATTCTCCTATATTATTATACTTACAGCCTATTCAATTAAGAAAATTCCTTTCTCATGCTATGGTTAAACATATATGGAGACCATAAATCTGAGTAACACACATCCTGAGTCAGGGTTTAAATGTCCTCCTAAAATTGCTTGATTCAGTCAGAGTTAAAGCTCTGGCTCCATGTACATGTGGCTAACTTAAGGGAATAAACAAGATGGATTTTACTTATCACCTAGCTAACAAGCTACCAACTTTCAGGTTTGCACAGCTGACAATTCCCCCTTCTGTTCTGTGGATAATCTGCACCTTCCTTCTCATCATGAAAATGTTCAAGTAGGGCTCTGGGTGAAGCAGGTGGGGGTCATCATCCCTTCATAAATGGAAGAAACTCATTCAGTGAAGGCATGAGATTTGCTAAGGGTTGCTCTGCTAAGTGTGTATCCCAGGTTGGCCCAAAGGAGAGGGGGTAGCTCAGTTTGCTTTTTACTTAATCCCATAGTGATAATTGAAGGCTATGAGAATCCCAGCTCTATGGGGAATGCCCACTGGATTCTGTGGAGTGCCTTCCAGGGGACCTTTGTCCCATGAAGCTTGGCTGTCAGAGGAGGGAGAGGCCAAGATGGAA